AGTCGGCCCTGGGACAACTTTCCAACGTGAAAGGCGCTTACAAGTATAATTTGTTGTTGCTGTAGTCACTGGCAGCTCAGAGAAACTCAGCCTGTGAGATCTTCCCAGTGCCATTTCTCATTGCAGTCAGTTGTAGATGGCAGGTTCAGGCAGCGACTGTCACCTGGCTGTACTTTAAGAGGAAGCTTGATAATAGTCTCACAGTTTCAATCTCATTCTGATTGGCTATGGTGGAACCATCAGAAATGGAAATGTCTTTTTGGTTTGCCCGGCCGGGTGTCTGAACACGCAGAAATCCGTCACCGTGCTTAAGAGTCTCCAAACCAAGCTGAGAATTCCAGGCATCCCACCTCCACATGGAAATCCCAGAGATAGATTGTTGGAATGGAATGTGCTCTCGCTCTCTCCCTGGAGGGACGCCTCCTGCTGACCTAATTCTGGAAAGTATTATGAGCAGGTGGGCAAAAGCCAAGGCTTGGGGATGCCAGCGTGTATGTTGGGTTAACAGCTAGAGTCTAACCAGAAAGCTTGCCATTTATATCGGTCTGGCAAGCTTTCCTACTGATTGTCCAGCTAGGAACACCCTACCCATTAGGGCTTTCACTTGCAGGGTTAACAGGAGCTGAGGGGGAGGATTCCCGGCGCCCAGTGACTGGTCTCCCCTTCCAGGTCCTGCTGATGAGCCGGGCCGGGCTGGGCCGCCATCAGCAGTGAGTGCCCTGGAATACTGTGGCCCCTCCTGGCTCAGGAACCAGACTGGAGACCGTCACGGGGTGGGGGGGGGGGGGGGCTCAATTCCGATATGTTGTTGCCAAACGTGTCACCTTGGAGCCATTTTAGCTGCAAAGAGACCCCATTTACCTCCCACTCCAAGAAGGCTGGTTACTGGTTGCTATGTGATTAGCTTCCAGGAGTGAAGATTCACAGATCGAAACACGATTGTGTTATCAATTTGGCTCAACTAAAATACAACAACAAGATTACATTTGCATAGCGCCTTTCACGTCGGGATGATGTCCCAAGGCGCATTTCAGTGACAGCATTTCAGACCCGAGCTGGGGTCAGGGGGGGAGAGGGGAGGGGAAGGGGGGTGGCCGATGGCATGGTCGAAGAGGAGGGTCTTGAGGTGGGACTTGAAGGAGGCTAAGGAGGGTTCATACAGTCAGTTCAGTGCAGTCTGAAGACATAGTGCAGACCAGATCTCTTTCCAACAGTTATTAATAATAACAATAATAATCCTAGCATTTAATATAGCGCCTTATCACATCTTGCCTCCTTCAAGTCCCATCTGAAGATCTTCCTCTTCGACCATGCCTTCAGCCACCCTCCCATCCCCAGCTTGGGTCCAAAACCCCTGATTGTCTTTCCGACAGAAGGGCACTATACAAGTGTAATTTGATGTTGTTGTCTTCGAGACGTCTTAAAGAGCTTCATAGAATATACTGTAAAGTGGATTGACATTTTTTGGGGGCGAAACATGGCAGCCAATTGCGCACAGCAAATAATCGTGGATTGAGTGAACAAATTATTTTTTAACAATAATTTGAAGGGAGTATTACTAAACAGTATAAATTAAATAAATCTATATGGCAAGAATTAGATTAAGGTTTAAACATTCTCTACTTGAAGGATTGAATATGTAGAAAAAAAAATTTCATTTCATTTTCATCTAACAAAATTTTGACCCCTGTGCGTGCAGATTCTGAGTGTCTGCTTTGAATATGTAGTATGTGTGTTTGTGTTTTTGTATGCTTGTGTGTGCACGTGTGTGTATGTGGGTGTATGTGTGTATATCTGTGTGTGTGGGTGTTTACCATAGAATCATATAATTATGCAGCACAGAAGGAAGCCAATTGGCCCATCGCGTCTGTGCCGCTCTTTGAAAAGAGCTTCCAAATCAACCCCACTCCCCCACGCTCTCCCCAGAGCCCTGATCAACCCCACTCCCCTGCTCTCTCCCCATAGCCCTGATCAACCCCACTCCCCCGCACTCTCCCCATAGCCCTGATCAACCCCACTCCCCCGCGCTCTCCCCATAGCCCTGATCAACCCCACTCCCCCGCGCTCTCCCCATAGCCCTGATCAACCCCACTCCCCCGCGCTCTCCCCATAGCCCTGATCAACCCCACTCCCCCGCTCTCTCCCCATAGCTCTGCAAACTTGTTCTCCCCAAATAATTATCTACTTCTCTCTTAAAAGCTGTTATTGAATCGGTTCCCACCGGCCTTTCAGGCAATGCATTCCAGATCCCAACAACTCTCTGTGTGAAAACATCTCTCCTCCCCTTCCCTCTGTTTCTTTTAACATCTATTTTAAAAGGTGCCCTCGGGTTACCGACCCACCGCCAGTGGGAATAGTTTCTCCTGTTCACCTTATCGAATCCGCTCATAATTTTGGAAACTTCTATCAAGTCTCCTCTTAACCTTCTCTGCTCTAAGAAGAATAATCCTCGCTTCTCTACCTCTCCTGATAACTGAAGTCCCTCATTCCTGGTACCATTCCGGTCAATCTCCGTTGTTCCCTCTCCAATGCCTTGATATCCTTCCTAAAGTGTGGAGCCCAGAACTGAACCCAGTCTCTCGCTGAGGCCTCACCAGTGTTTTATATAAAGGTTCATCATAACTTCCTGACTTGTGTACTCTATGCCCCTATTTATAAAGCCCAGTGTCCCATATGCTCTTTTAACAGCTGTATCTGCCTGTGCTGCCACCTTCAAAGATTTACTGATATGACCCCCAGGTCTCTCTGTTCCTTCCCCCCCTTTAAGACTGTACCATCAGCTTATATTGCCTCTCCTCATTCTTCCTCACAAAATGCATGACTTTGCATTTCTCCACATTAAACTTCATCTGCCCCGTGTCTGCCCATGTTACCAGTCTGTCTATGTCCTCTTGCAGTCTGTTACTATCCTCCTCACTGTTTATTACTTTTCCAGCTTAGTATCATCTGCAAACTTGGGAATTGTCCTCCCTGTACCCGAGTCCAGGTCAATTATATAGATCACAAACAGCAGTGGTCCCAATACCGACATCACTGTACACTTCCCTCCAGTCAGAACAACAACTGTTCACCACTCTCTGCTCTCTGTCTCCCAGACAGTTCTGTATCTGCTGCCACTGTCCCTTTAATACCGTGGATTTCTATTTTGTTTACAAGTCTCGATACATATGTGTATGTGTGTGTGTGTTTGTATGTGCGGAGCAACTATGCGTGTATTACTTTTGCAACATTTCCTGCCCCCACCTCTCCTCTCGGGCAGTCGAGACCCTCGTACATACTTTTATCACCTGCAGGTTGGATTATGCTGATTCTCTGCTCACTGCTCTTCTCAACTCTTCTCTCCACAACAACTTCGATATAAGTATATAGCGCCCCTCACGCAGTATAGCGTCCCAGAGTGCCACAAGCTGAAGACTATTCATAACTCTGCAGATCGTGTCCTCTCCTGCAACAGGCCCTGCCCGCCTTTCACCCCTATCCTCGCCCAGCTCCGTTGGCTCCCCATCTCCCAGAGGTTATCGAATTCAAGATCCCTGTCCTCACTTTTAAAGCCCTCCATGGTCTTCCTCCGCACTACATTTCTGACATTCCAAAACCTTACCAACCCACACACTCCCTGCGCTCTGCAGGCACTGACCTGCTTCACATCCCCACCCTGTCTGTTCACTATCAGTGGGCGTGTCTTTTGCTGAATCATTGTGTAACTGTACTTTTCGGAGCTGCACCCTCTGCTGGGTGGGGGCGGGAAGATGACCAGAGGGTCAAAGAGGAAGGCCTGGTGGTGAACCTTGAAGGAGGCTGGGGACGAGGCGAAGGGATTCAGGGATGGAGTTTCAGGGGGTTGGGGCAGAAAGGCTAACCTCACTCAGTGAGGAGCCTGTGAACCTCAGTACAAACCAGCGATTACCCCGAGAGGGACCGAGACATCCAGTGATTATAACAACAACTTGCATTTATATAGGGCCCCCTTCATTCGGAGTAGCATCCTGAGCCAGGGGGGAGGTGACCGTAAGCACAATCAAAAAAGGAAGGTCTTTGGGTGGGATTTGAAGGTGGGGAGGAAAGGGGCAAAGCGGAGGGATTGAGGGAGCGAGTTCCAGAGTTTGGGGCACAGCCACCGATGGTGGAGCGGAGGGACAAACAGGAGGTTGAAGCCAGTCCGGCAGAGGCAGCAGGTAGTGGAGTGAGGGGTAAACAGGTTGGAGAGGTAGGGAGGTGCGAAGCATGAAGGGATTTGAAAACAAGTGAGAGGATCTTGAGATTGATCATTCATTCGGTGATTGGGAGCCAGTGGAGCCTGGCAAGGACTGGGGTGATGGGAGTAAAATCCACACTTATAAAGTGTGAGTACAATTACCCCCTCTGCTTAGTGTGAAATGAACCAGGTTGTACTCAGTCTCTCTCTGGGGGGGAATTGTGTGAGTACCAATCGCTTCTTTCTCAACAGCGCCTTCACAGCCTAAAGGCACGGGCATATCTGCACAAATTGGATTCCTGTGGCTCATAGGTTAGAGCACTTGCCTGACAAACGAGAGGAACTGGCTTGGATTTCTGGGCAGGGTGAAATATTATGCAAGTTTCCTTACTCCACACACGTGCCTCTGTTTACCCGGCAGTAAGTAGGATGTTAGTTGATTGCTGGATTGCTTTGCGGGGGTAATAATCCCTTTGAAAAATAAATTGGTCACTCAATCCGCGACTGTTTGTGAGCAATTGGCTGCCACAAAATATACAGACGCAAGACTTTACAGCGTATTCTGTGAAGCGCTTTGAGATGTCTCAAAAGATGTGATAAGGTGATGTATCAAATGAAAGGTTTATTATTGTTATTATTATTGCCGGATGTCTGAGTTTCTCTCTGAGGCTAACCGCAGGTTTGAGCTGCTGGTGGTGAGCTTTGCTGAGTCATTGTGTCACTGTACTTTTCAGAGTTCCGCCCTCTGTCCAGACTCCTCCTCTGCCTGTTATTTCCACAAACAATATATAAAGGCAGGAACGGGCATCATAGGCAGTACAGTACAGTGAATCAAAAAGGCACCACCTCACGAGACATCTGCTTCAGTGACGGCATTAGGAAGGTGAGCTTTCACTTCTGGTCCCTGGTTCTCTCGGCTGTCTGTCTTGTGCTGGTGGAACTGTGTGTTGTTCCACTCAGTAGTTCTTCTTATTCTTTCTCTCGCTCTCTCTCTTGCTCTTTCTCTGCATTTTCCTTTTCACAAATTCATTGATTAAATGAATTAATTGATTATGATGGGCTATTCTGTATTTATATAGCGCCCCTCATGCTGGCTAGCCCTTCCCTCATTGTTATCTTCACCTCTCAGCTTCACGTTGGGCAGTGGGTTTACTCTGAAAGGTGCTGACTGCAGTCCTCATGGATGACAAGTCTATTTGACAGGTGCATGATAAAGAGTCTTTGCATTTGATATAGCTCCTTATCACATCTTTGAGACGTCTCAAAGCGCTTCACAGAATATACCGTAAAGTGAATTGACTGTATATTTTGTGGGTGAAATGCGGCAGCCAATTGCACACAGCAGAGTCCCACAAACAGCTGTGAATTGAATTGACCAAATTATTATTTTTTTTCTTGAGGGATTATTATCAGGCGTGTGTGTGGAGTAAGGAAACTTGCCCAAGGTTTCGCCCTGGCCGGGAATTGAACCCAGGCCTCTCACTTGCGAGGCGAGAGCTCTAACCACTGAGCTACAGGTCTCCTTAAGCTTTCTGATTCATATAGATTCACATAGACCTGCTGAATCTATATGGAGCTTTCACTGCTCCTTTCATTTACTACACAATAACTTGAGTCTGGACACACATTCCTCTTCAGCTCAAAGCATACATTAATAATAGTAATAATCTTTGCGTTGGATATAGCACCTTTCACTTCAGGAGGACGTCTCAAAGCACTTCATAAGATGATGTGTGGTGACTGTATTTTGCAGCTGAACTTAAAAAGGAAGTTGAGTGGGCGATAGCAAACGGGAAGTACATTGCATTTCTTCTTCCTGAATTGAGTGGCTTGTGAGTACGGTTTCAACGTTCATGACAGACAGCTCAGTCGGCAGTTTTCTGTTGGATGTGCAATGCGATTAGCATGTGGTCTCGATATTACTCAAGGTCATGGAAAGTTTACAGGGCGGAGGGCCAACGTTCTTAATTTAGAGAGATACAGAGGATTTGGGGGCTCAGAACCACGTACATTACACGCTATCGGTCAGGATTCGGTCAGTACACTGTGGCAAAAGTCACCAAGCATTCAACATCTGGGGTGTTGAATCAGGGGTGAGCAAGAGTTATAATAAATAAATAATCCTTGCATTTGATACAGAGCCTCATCACGTCTTTGAGACGTCTCAAAACGCTTCACACAATATGCTATAAAGTGAATTAATGGTATATTTTGTGGACGAAACGTGGCAGCCACTTGCACACAGCAGCGTCCCACAAACAGCCGTGGATTGAAGTGACCAATTTGGTTTTTTTTGGAGGAGAAGGAATTATTACCCCCGGAAAAGCAATCCACCAATCAACTAACAACCAGGTTCCTACTTACTGCCGGTAAACAGAGTCGTGTGGCGTAAGGAAACTTGTCCAACATTTTGCCCTGCCGGGAATCGAATCCAGGTCTCTCGCTTGTGAAGCGAGTGCTCTAACCACTGAGCCACAGGACTCCACGTGAGCTTGTGAGTTGTCTCACACAGGCCATAGGAACCATTTGTACAGGAAGAGATGATTCCACACAGTCTCTCGATTATATTTAACCCTAGAGCATTACTCATACAGTATTTAAATAATTATGTAACGTTTTCCCTTTGACTGACACAGAAGCAGTCTACCAGGTGCCAGCCTTGCTCCAGTTGCTCATGTCTCCCTGCGTTAGGAACAGGATTCCCATTCCTAATTGCACTCTCACCTTGGAATCAAAAGAATACAAGTTCAAGTCCCACAAAGGGACATAGGAACAGGATGAGGCCATTCAGCCTCTTGAGCCTGTTCCACCATTCTACAAGATCATGGCTGATTTGTACCTCAACTCCAATTACCTGCCTTTGCCCCATACCCTTATCTAAAAAATAACTTTAGGTTGAAACTCCAGGCAATGTTGGGTGAGCCATTGTTGGAGGTGCCGTCCTTTGGATGAGATATTAGCCCAATATAATAATAATCCTTGCTTTTGATACAGCGCCTCATCACGTCTTCAAGACGTCTCAAAGCGCTTCACAAAATATACTGTAAAGTGAATTGACTGTATTTTGTGGGCGAGACGCAGCAGCCAATTGCACCAGCAGCGTCCCCACAAACAGCCGTGGATTGAGTGACCAAATCATTGTTTTTTTTAAGATCTCCTCTGCCTGTTCAGACAGACATAAAGATCCCATGGCACTATTTGATAATGAAAGAGAGTTTCTCCTGGTCTCCTGACCAACAATCCTCAGACATCTTCAGGTAGTTTGTGGGACATTGCTGTGTGTGAATTGGCTGCCGAGTTTGCCTAACAAATACACAGTCACCACAGTTTACAGTAAATCCTGTCAAGTGCTTCGAGATGGTGATTCGAAATTCCTGCTTTAATAGGTACCATTAATATCAAGATGTCAGCTGGACTCTGTTGGCAACACATTGCTCTCCTGAACTGGTGGCATTGATGCCTCCAGGATAATAGGTGGTGAGATTAAGCCCCATATTGGAACTCATAATTGTGGCCAACATTCAGTGTGGTACTGCAAATAATGTTGCGTTGTTGGGGATCCCTTTTTTTTGATAAGATGTTAAACCAAGATGCTGGTTACCCTTGGTGAACATGCGGAGTCTTGTAGCTCATTGGTTAGCGGGCTCGCCACACAAGCGAGAGACCCGAGTTTGATAATAATACTAAATTGGCCACTGAATCTACGACTGTTTGTGGGACACTGCTGTGCGCAATTGGCTGCTTTTGAGATGTTTCAATGTGATAAATTGCGATAACAATGGAAGTTTGTTCTACACATCTTCATCTTGACATCACCCAACACCAACTCAACCATTATGTTTCCTTCATTTGACAGATACCAACCAGAGGACATGGCTGAGTGTGAGAAGACGATGACATTGGGTCACAGTGCACCCAAGTCAACTCAAGGGGGCTCGCCACTCTCTGTTGTCGTTATTGGTAAAAGAGCTCACCTTTCTAATCTCTCCATGCTTGTGATTTCTGGTTCAATCTCTCTTGTGTAGTATTGTTTCCAATATTATAATACTTTAAATGTCTCAATGCTTGATAATCTTTTGTGGGGCTACAGGGGAAGCCCTTTCTCAGGCTCCAGAGCAAAGCAAACCAATAGCAGAGATTACAATCCTCCCTCCATGTCCATTGTTAGTGCTGGACAGCAAGACAATAAGGACCTTTGGTCTCCCGGTGTGAGGCATGGAACAGGGTTCCCAATCCTGATGGCAAGCTGAATAGTGTGCACAGCTGTAAGAACTGGATCAGGGCTGCTTGATACCCAGCACTGCCATTGGCCTTGTCAGATTCTGGATCTCCACCTCAGGATGGTTCAAACATGGAGATCAGTCTCTGTGTGAAGAACCACAGAGTTTCCAGAACTGGTGGAACTGTAGCATGGATAGGGCCTTATGGAGGAAGGCCTGTGTGTGTGTGTGTGTGTGTGTGTTTGTGTGTGTGTGGAGTGGGAGGGGCTTTATATAGATTAAATTTAAAATAGAACTGACTATTTATAATTATAAGTATACTTCATCAGTAATTTCCCATGTCCTCATTTAATTCTGTGCTTTCTACATAAGAGTTAACTGTAAGCGACTGCTGGATGATTCTACTTCAACCTATCAAACATTGCCATACTTGTTAAACAGTCTTGTACCTAATACATTCCACAGCAAACTGTTCCACATATTTATCTATATATATAACCTTAACCTGATCACTGTTGCTGGCAACTCCAACATTCCTGTCCAGTTACATTGGTATTTCCCTAGTCTGACCGATGAGCTTGATTGCTCAACTTTCAAATAAACAAATTGAAGCGTTTGGGCATTGGCTGGCAGCTGTTTAGCTACCACTGCTAACATAGCCACAGTACAATTACAGCAATAAGGAAATCAATCATGTTTACATCAGCATCTGCTTGCTCCTGTCTCCCCTCGGTCTTAAAATCGTATGTGGAGTCCTGTAGCTCAGTGGTTAGAGCACTCGCCTCACAAGCGAGAGGACTTGGGTTTGATTCCCGGGCAGGGAGAAACCTTAAGCAAGTTTTCTTACTCCACACGCCTCTGTTTACCTAACAGTAATAATAATCCTTGCATTTGATATAGCGCTTTTCACGTCGGAAGGACGTCCCAAAGCGCTTCACAGAACACACTGTAAAGTGAATTGACTGAATATTTGTGGGCGAACGCGGCAGCCAATTGCGCACAGCAATGTCCCACAAACAGTCATAGATTGAAAATGACCAATTTATTATTGTTTTTTGGTTTTTGGAGGGATTATTATTAGGCTCTGTGTGGAGTAAGGAAACTTGCCCAAGGTTTCGCCCTCTGCCTGGAATTGAACTCAGGTCTCTCACTTGCAAAGCGAGTGCTCTAACCACTGAGCTACAGGACTCCACGTTGTTGGAACCTGGTTGTTGGTCATTGGCAGATCACTCTTCTGGGGTAATAATCCCTCCGCTTCAAATAAATAAATAAATAAATAATAACAATAATTTGGTCACTCAATCCCCAACTGTTTGTGAGACACTATTGTGCACAATTGGCTGCTGCCCACAAAATATACACTCAGTGGAGCACGAGGGGAGCACTGGGTTGTTGGAAGTTCCATCCCTCAGATGAGATGTTAACGTGAGGTTCCATCTGCCCGGATGCTAAAGATCCCATGGTATCCCGGTCCGCAATCCCACTGATAAAATTGGTCACTTACTTCATGGCTGTCTGTGGGACACAGACCCACAGACAGCCGTCTGTCGTGGAGTCCTGTAGCTCAGTGGTTAGAGCACTCGCTTTGCAAGTGGGACACCTGGGTTCAATTCCAATCAGGGCGAAACCTTGGGCAAGTTTCCTTACTCCACACAGAGCCTAATAATGATCACTCCAAAAAAACAAAACAATAATAAATTGGTCATTTTCAATCCACGACTGTTTGTGGGACATTGCTGTGAGCAATTGGCTGCCGCGTTCGCCCACAAATATACAGTCAATTCACTTTACAGCATAGTCTGTGAAGTGTTTTGGGACGTCTAGAAGACATGAAAAGCTCTATATCAAATGCAAGGATTATTATTATTATTGCTGGGAACAAATTGGCTATCGCGTTCACCTATACAATACAGTCGCTATACTCCATACAAAATTTATATTTACAGAATAAAATCAGTATTACAAAACTGTCTGGGAGACAGAGAGTGGTGATGAACGGTTGTTTTTCTGACTGGAGGGAAGTGCAGTGGTGTCCCCCAGGGATCAATATTGGGGCCACTGCTGTTTGTGATCTATATAAATGACCTGGACTTGGGTACAGGGAGGACAATTCCCAAGTTTGCAGATGATACAAAGCTGGAAAAGTAATAAACAGTGAGGAGGATAGTAACAGACTGCAAGAGGACATAGACAGACTGGTAACATGGGCAGACACGTGGCAGATGAAGTTTAATGTGGAGAAATGCAAAGTGATGCATTTTGTGAGGAAGAATGAGGAGGCAATATAAGCTGATGGTACAATCTTAAAGGGGGTGAAGGAACAGAGAGACCTGAGGGTTCATATAGTAAATCTTTGAAGGTGGCAGCACAGGCAGATACAGCTGTTAAAAGAGCATATGGGACACTGGGCTTTATAAATAGGGGCATAGAGTACACAAGTCAGGAAGTTATGATGAACCTTTATATAAAACACTGGTGAGGCCTCAGCGAGAGACTGTGTTCAGTTCTGGGCCCCACACTTTAGGAAGGATGTCGGGGCATTGGAGAGGGTGCAAAGGTAGATTTAATGGAGGTGTTCAAAATGATGAGGGGATTCGATAGGGTGAACAGGAGAAACTATTCCCACTGGTGGTGGGTCGGTAACCCGAGGGCACCGATTTAAAATAGATGTTACAAGAAACCGAGGGGAGGAGAGATGTTTTCACACAGCGAGTTGTTGGGATCTGGAATGCATTGCCTGAAAGGCCGGTGGGAACCGATTCCATAACAGCTTTTAAGAGAGAAGTAGATAATTATTTGGGGACGACAAGTTTGCAGAGCTATGGGAAGACAGCGGGGGAGTGGGGTTGATCAGGGCTATGGGGGGAGAGCGGGGGAGTGGGGTTGATCAGGGCTATGGGGAGAGAGCGGGGGAGTGGGGTTGATCAGGGCTGTGGAGAGAGAGTGGGGGAGTGGGGTTGATCAGGGCTATGGGGAGAGAGCGGGGGAGTGGGGTTGATCAGGGCTATGGAGAGAGCGGGTTAGTGGGGTTGATCAGGGCTATGGGGAGAGTGCGGGGGAGTGGGGTTGATCAGGGCTATGGGGAGAGAGCGGGGGAGTGGGGTTGATTTGGAAGCTCTTTTACAAGAGCCGGCACAGACACGATGGTTCAAATGGCCTCCTTCTGTGCTGTAGAATTCTATGATTATATACACTGCAGTAAATCCTATGCAGCATTTTGAGATGTTTCCATGACATCATAAGGCACAACATCAAATGCAAGTATTATTGTATGGTATTTATTTTTTAAAAACAGGAAATGGGCCATCAGGCATTTGTCTCTCCTACCTCCTCTCCGGATACAGGCCTTACTTCAAGGAGTCTGCAATCCATCCAAATCCAATCCTACAGTGGAAGTTGCAAAAGAATGCAGGGGTAGCCATCACACAACAGGTAACCATCGCATAACCGCTCATTATCTCTGTGTGGTAGCTGACCCACTGGAGCTCTCTATCCTAATCTCATTCCACTTCCATATTGTGTCTGCAATAATTCTCTCTGCCCTACTAATGCCATCTTCTCATAGCATCATTCCCCATTGTACTGCTGCTCACCGCTCTCCTATCTACTCTTTTCCTATTTCCCTGCTCTTGCCCAATGCTCTGTAATATTATAATAATGATAATATTATTAATATTATAATCTGAAGTATCTATCAGTGTTGCTATGAATTTAATAATGACTGTATTCAGTAGAGCCAATGGTAAAGGAAGTGGAAGGGAATCAAAAGCTTATTTAGATGGCATTTCTTAACCACCTGATTTCAAAATGGCTGTGATATTAAATGCCAGGATTACAAATTAAGAATGTGGTTAGCAATAATGGGAAGGTGGCCAGAATGTTTTGACGCACAGCGTAATGGGCTTTTTGAATCAGTTACCAGGGAAGATCACTGAAGCATGCAATGTAAATGGGTTAAGAGACAATTAATGTTTAAACCATTTACCAAACTGCCAAACAAGGACACTCCTTATATGTCAATTTGTCTAAGCACTTGGGTGGTGAAGATAATGGCTTTTAGGAAATTGCTACATCAATATACACTGTGCGAAACCATTACGTCAGCCTGGCACTCTCACTTCTGGGTCAGAAGATTGTGGGTTTAAATCCCACAATAGGACTTGGAATCGTGTGGTCTAAATTGATGCTCCAATGCAGTGCTGGGAGTGTGTTGCATTGTTGGAGGAGCTGTCCTTTGGATGAGACATTAAACCAAGGTCCCATCTGCCTGTTCAGGTAGATGAATCTCGTCACTCTTAATAAATGGCTCACTCTTAATAAATGGCTCACTCTTAATAAATGGCTCACTCTTAATAAATGGCTCACTCTTAATAAATGGCTGTAATATGAAATACTAAATACAAATTAAATATGTGGTTAGGATTAATGGGATTAAAGATCCCAGTGGTACTATTCGAAAAGAGAAGTTTCTCTGTCCCCGTATCCTATGTAGCTCAGTGGTTAGAGCACTCGCTTTGCAAGTGAGAGACCTGAGTTCAATCCCAGGCAGAGGGCGAAACCTTGGGCAAGTTTCCTTACTCCACACAGAGCCTAATAATAATCCCTCCAAAATAATAATTAAATTGGTCATTTTCAATCCACGACTGTTTGTGGGACATTGCTGTGCGCAATTGGCTGCCGCGTTCGCCCACAAATATACAGTCAATTCACTTTGCAGTGTGTTCTGTGAAGTGCTTTGGAATGTCCTCCCACAACAACAACAACAAGATTCCATTTATAGAGCGCCTTTCACCTCGGGAGGACGTCCCAAGGCGCTGTACAGTTCCGACATGAAAAGCGCTATATCAAATGCAAGGATTATTATTATTATTATTATTATTATTATTATTATTATTATCCTGACCAACAATACCCCAAATAAAATAGGTCACTCACTCTATGGCGGATTGTGGGACATTGCTGTGCGCAACTGGCTCCCACAAAATACATATTCACCACACTTTACAGTACATCCTCTGAAGCACTTTGGGATTTCTCAATGACGTGATAAGGCAATATGTCAAATGCAAGGATTATTACTATTATTAATTAGATGCGTATCTAGAAAGAGGTGGGATTGAGAATACAAATGGGACAAAACAAATTGCGCTAAATAACCCTTGCTTCTTCCAAGATAATCTACTGTACGTATATTTTTGATTCTAGGATTTGGAGTTTTTGTCAGAGGGGCTTGAGGGCCGTTCCCACAATCCTGTTGCTGTCCTGTTTGACTCACTGCTGCGTCCTGAAGCGGATTTTGGCATGTCTATGGATTCAGTGCTGAGCTGGAGACTGGAACCTGACCAGCACATCCCTCACCTCGTTCTGGGCAAAGGTCCACCCGGAGGAGCTTGGCATGTACGTAGAAAAAATCATTGAAACAGTAAACCATTTACCAAGTTACGTACAAGAGCGCTCCTTACAGGGTGATTTGTCTATGCATTTGTGTGTGGTGAAGATAATGAATTTTAGGAAAATGCTAGATGAAGATACAACAAGTTCTGTTTACACTAATTCTGGTTTCAAAAACATTTAAAGGTGAACCAATTGTGACTGCAATTTTTGTCCTACCAACAGAGAGATAGTATAATGGTGTTCATTTAGCAAGCCTGTGGTTTGGTTCTTAGTCAAGTGGAGTGCTCTGGGGTAGTGGTTAGCGTGCTCGTCTCACAACCGAAAGGACCTGGGTTCGATTCCCGGGCAGGGCAAAACCTTAGGTAAGTTTCCTTACTCCACGCATCTCTGTTTACCTAGCAGAAAGTAGGAATCCAGTTGTTAGTTGATTGGCGGATTGTTTTAAGGGTTAATAATCTCTTAAAATAATTAATTAATTTGGTCACTTAAATCCACGAATGTTTGTGGGACACTGCTGTGCGCAATTGGCGTTTCGCCCATAAAATATACAGTAAATTCACTTTACAGTATACTCTTGCTGCACAAAAGGAGGCATTTAGGCCCATTGAGCCTGTGCCAGCTCTTTGAAAGAGTGACCAACTAGTCCCACTCCCCCGCTCTTACCCCATAGACCTGCAAACTTTTCCTTTTAAGTACCTATCCAATTTGATATTCTGGCATATTCTGTAACATGCTTTGAGATGTCTCAATAACATAAGACACTGTGTCAAATGCAAGGATTATTATTATTTAATATTCTAGAACTGTTGTTCAGCGGTGGCAAGGCATACCGCCCCCTCATGCTCCACCCCCCCCCCCCAGCGGATTCTGTGTTGAACGCACCATTTATGTTACTGAGCAAACCTTTATGGCTTCACCCTGCTAGTACCTCTGCCCAGAAGATCCAGAACATAAAATATAAAATGGCCACCAAAGCTGACTGAGAGAGATCCTTTGCAAAATATATTATCCAATGTTTCAATAGAACAAAAGGCAAAATATTGCAAACACTCAGCAGGTCAGGCAGCATCTATGGAGAGAAGGGATTTGAATGTAAGGACCCTTTCGTGGAGTCCTGTAGCTCAGTGGTTAGAGCACTCGCTTTGCAAGCGAGTGACCTGAGTTCAATTCCAGGCAGAGGGCGAAACCTTGGGCAAGTTTCCTTACTCCACACAGAGCCTAATAATAATCCTCCAAAACCCAAAACAATAATAAATTGGTCATTTTCAATCCACGACTGTTTGTGGGACATTGCTGTGCGCAATTGGCTGCCACGTTCGCCCACAAATATACAGTCAATTCACTTTACAGTCTATTCTGTGAAGCGCTTTGGGACGTCCTCACGACGTGAAAAGCGCTATATCAAATGCAAGGATTATTATTATTATTATATCCCCAGTAATATAAACTCAGTGATATTATGAATAATAATAATAATCTTTGCATTTGATAGAGCAACTTAACATGTCATTGAGACGTCTCAAAGTGCTTCACAGGATATTATTTTATGTTACATAGTGACTGCTACATAAAATAAAATACAATAAATAAAATAAATCACATATAATTGTTTACAGGATATACAATTGCAGGATATACGTCTAGAAGACGTGAAAAGCGCTATATCAAATGCAAGGATTATTATTGTTGTACTGTAAAGTGAATTGACTGTATATTTTGTGGGCAAAACGCGGCAGCCAATTGCGCACAGCGATGTCCCCACAAACAGTCGTGGATTGAGTGACCAATATATTATTTTTTGAAGGAATTAGTATAGATAACCCAAGTTATATATGAATATAGATAGTTGTTATTAATGGTTCAAGATATCTTTGCCCAGATAACCACACAGGACATGGATAATATATTTAGCAATTATCTACTAGTTCCTAGAACAGAACCATAAGTTCTACTGAAACATTGGATCTTGCAAAGGAACTATTTCAGTCAACTATTGTTGCCATTTGTTCACAAATCTTTGTTGTGAGAACTGTAGCAGTCGTTATGTAACATTCTTTTGTGTACAAATAACACTGAGTCAATCAAATCATTGATAGTGTTTCACACGTTATGATGAAATGACTGCAGTATCCTCAGTATTTCGCTAAGTGTTTTGGCTTCGAATCAGGCTCAGTTTAGTGCTATTATCCCATGTGTAGGGCCCTATGTAAATGCAAGTCGTTGTTGTTGTTGTTTATTGAGCTCTGACCTGCCATTGTGCTCCTACAGTCCATCAAAGGATCTATGATCACCCTGAGTCTCGGTGACTGGATGGAACTGCCAGATCTTCGAATCAGGGACTGGATGAGGGAGAAGAGAAGGTAAAAACATTCCTGTGTCAAAGAAAGGGCTGGTCTTAACAACAATAGCTTTTTACAAAAACGGCCAGCTGCTCCTTCAATATCTCATTCAGAATCGATAGGACAATGTCCACTCCCTGAATGCCACAATTAGTTTAATGAGGTTGACTAACCTGCTCACCACTGAACTGCAATTTTTATAATTCAATAGCACAAAGTTCTTTCTTCTTTGAAAGAAGTGCTTGCAATTAGGTGTGACTACGTCAAACAAAATACTGAACAAGGGCAATGGAATCAGTCACTCTAAATAGGTATTACTCTTTACCCCCTTTTGCCCAGCCGGGTGTCTGACACATGCAGAAATCTATCACCGTGCTGAAGAGGATCCAAACCCAACTGAGAATGCCAGACACACACGGAAATCCCAGAGATAGTTTGTTGGAATGGAACGCTCTCTCTCTCTCTCCCTCCCTCCCTGGAGGGATGTATCCTGCTTACCTAATTCCAGAAAGTATTAGGCAAGAGCCAAGGCTTGAGAGGACCCCAGAGTGCACACTGGGGTAACTGCTGGAGTCTAACTAGTTAAAACCGCTTTGATATCGCTGTCTGGTGAGCTCTATACCGGGAGTCACCTCATGGTAATGTAACCCTGTGGACCTAAATGGTGATTGTACGGTCACTGTGTTGAGCGGCAACTGAGTTGCAATAAATATGGAATGGGGAGGTTTCAGTGAAGTTACCCAGTTTAGATATTTTGTATAATATTGGATAACAGGGAACAATTGAAGCGAGAATATAATCAATGGTTTTGATATAGAATATACAGTACTCAGAATTCTGGGTACATCTCAAAGAGCTTTGCAGGATTTACTGCAGTAAAGTGTATTTTTTAGACAATAATGGTAGCCAATTTTTTTGTACAGAAATGTCTCACACACAACCAGGAAATGAATGACTAATTGTATCTGGGGGGGGGGATTGTCAGGCAGGACACCTGGAGAAAATCCCTTCTCTTTTTGAATTGTATTCATGTCCATTTGAGCAGGCAGACTGGACCTGAGTTTAACGTCTCATCCAAAGGATGCCACCACCAACAATTCAACGCTCTCCGAATAACAATAACAAGATTACATTTGTATAGCGCCTTTCACGTTGGGAGGACGTCCCAAGGCGCAGGACAGTGACAGCATTTCAGACCCGAGCTGGGGTCAAGGGGGGGAGAAGGGAGGGGAGGGGAAGGGGGGTGGCTGATGGCATGGTTGAAGAGGAGGGTCTTGAGGCGGGACTTGAAGGAGGGTCTTGAGGCTAAGGAGGGTGTGAGGCGGAGTGATTGGGGGATGGAATTCCAAAGGTTGGGGGCAGAGTGGCTGAAGGCTCTCACGCCAATGGTGGGGCGGGTGGGTCGGGGGACGTGGAGTAGGCCAGAGCCGGCTGAGTGGAGGGAGCGGGCAGATTGGTAGGGGTTTAGGAGTGGCAGAGGTAGGGTGGGGCAAGGCCATGGAGGGCTTTGTAGGTGAGGACCAGGATCTTGAACTGGATCCTCTGAAGGATAGGGAACCAATGGAGTCGGGCGAGAATGGGGGAGATGGGGTCATGGAGTTTGGTGCGGGAGAGGACACGGGCTGCAGAGTTCTGGATTATCTGCAGTTGTGGAGGGAGGAGTTGGAAGGCCGACACGCAGGGCGTTTTCATAGTCGAGCCTGGAGGTGATGAAGGCATGAACAAGAGTTTCAGCGCCTGAGGGTGAGGTAATGGCAGAGTCAGGTGATGTTACAGAGGTGAGGGAAGGCAGAGCGGATCATGGCTTGGATGTGGGGAAGAAAAGACAGTTGAGGGATCATTGCCAGCTAAATGGATCATTGATCAGCTCACTCCTAAAATGACGTGTTAAGTGTATTTTGCATAATGGCACTAAATTGGTGTGTACATTAATTTGCAGTAAAGACAGTGAGAAAATAGAATTATAGAACATTCTAGCAAAATAAAGGTCAGGACCTGCTCCTCAATATCAGACGTCATTACAGTTTCCCTGGAGGCCTTATATCGTGTGAAGCCCTTTGAGACGTCTCGAAGACGTGATAAGTCTCTATATCAAACGCGAGGATTATTATTATCATTGAGCTCTGAAACATCAGTGCCTTTGCCTCTGGCCTCTAATGGGAATTGTATTACTTTGCAGATGTGTGAGGAATGACAGAACCACCACAGCAGACATCGCCCTGTACTACCAGCACTATGTAAAGGACAAAGGTTTGCAAAGGAACATTGCCTGTGGCACTGTGGTAACCTCAGTCAGGAAAGTTGGACCAGCTTCTCACTGTAAAGGTGAAGGTGGGATTGCAGACACACATTTGCCCAGGAATCAGGCAGCAGAACCTCAGCCCTGCTCTACAAAACCCACCACAAACCTTTTTGAGATCAAAGGCCACATCCAATCCACAACTGGGTTGGAAAAGACCTTTTGCATCTATGCGGAGAATGTTGTCTTGGCAACAGGGACGTACGACAGCCCTGCTCAGCTTGGCATCGAGGGTGAAGATCTGCCCTTTGTTTCCCACACAATCTCTGAGCTGGAAGAGGCCATCAAGCAGCAGAGAGTGAGGCAGAACTTTGACCCCATCCTAATCGTTGGCGCTGGTCTGACTGCAGCAGATGCTGTCCTCTCTGCCCATCACAGCAACATCCCTATACTCCACGTGTTCAGAAGACGAGTTAATGATCCAGGTCTTATCTTCAACCAACTTCCTAAAATGATGTACCCTGAGTATCACAAAGTGCACCAGATGATGCAGGAGCAATCATTCTCTGCCTCTGGGCCATATGACGGATACATCAGCCTACCACAATACCAGGTTTTATCCTTCAAAGCTGACAACAAGTGTATTCTTCAGAATATACAGTCTGGAGAAAGGAAGATCTTCAACATCTCGATGGCTCTTATCCTCATTGGTTCAAACCCCAATTTATCATTTCTTCCTGAACACGGAAGTTCACTGGGAGTAAACGTGGAGCTGCCAATTAACTGCAGACGGAACCCCATAGACATAGACATGTACACGTATGAGAGTGTGCAGGAGCCAGGGCTGTATGCCGTTGGGCCTCTTGTTGGTGACCATTTTGTACGCTTTCTGCAGGGAGGAGCCTTGGCGGTCTCCAGTGCTTTAATCAAGCGTAAACATGACGTGGCAGATAAACATCCAGATCACAACCACAGCAAAGTTTGTCAGGGTGACTTAACACAATCTAATGTGGCCTCCAAAACAGTGCTTCAGGGGGGGGTGTCTTAGATATACCACAGGGTAAGAAATGTAAATGTCTGTTAATTTCCCTGCCTTTGGGGAAGAATCTCCTGCCTCTCGGAGCACATGGATTAGGACAGAAAGCTGACCCATCGCCAGAGATGCTCATGGGTCAAATGATAGAGAGGACATGAGTGTGGGACGTGCCTACAGATTTCTCAGCCCAGAAGGAAATCTCTGATTCTCACCCGGTGTAAGGCTCTGACAGCGCAGCTAATAGACTGCAAAATATTATGAGAGATCAGGGCATGGAGGAAAAAGGAGTCCTGTAGCTCAGTGGTTAGAACCCTCGCCGTAGCTCAGTGGTTAGAACCCTAGCCTCGCAATCGAGAGGAACTAGGTTTTATTCCCAGCAAGGTGAAACCTTGGGCAAGTTTCCTTACTCCACATGCCTCTGTTTACCTAGCAGTAAATAGGAATCTGCTTGTTAGTTGATTGCAGATCGCTTTCCAGGGTTAATAGTCCGTTCAAATGAATAATAATTTGGTCACTTAATCCACGACTGTTTGTGGGACACTGCTGTGTGTGATTGGCTGCCGCATTTCACCCACAAAATACACAGTCAATCCACTTTACAATATATTTTGTGAAGCACTTTGAGACATCTCAATGACATGATTAATATGATAAAACACTGATACTGTGACAATTGACTCCTTAAAATAAGAACTGGAGAAATATTCCAGTATTTAGGAGGCATCTTGGAGGTGACAGTGATGGGCACAGATGTTGATGATTAATGATTGCACACACACACAGGCACAGACTCACCCACACATACATACAAACAACACTTTACTCTCCCTCTGGGTTCAAGCGTGAACTGCTTTTGGGAACTCTGAATCTGATCTCGATCACATTCCAATCTTGACAGTCCCTCTTGCAACCAGCATTTTAAGGGTTAAGCTGCTAAAGGCAGAGAGCCTACTGTGGGAAAGTACAAAGTTAATGCTGTAAAACCTTCCTCATTGTGGGTGGGAATTCTCTCCCTCTGAAAGAGACTTAACTTTTCAACCTGCTCTAAGCATTTGGATTTACCTTTTGAAATGCGAGCTGGAGGCCCAGTGACTCACAGCGTTCAAACACTCAACTCCTGACACTCCGAGCCCAGTCTCAGGGCTGAATGTCACTGGCAATCACTGGCCTTCAGTCAGATGAAATAGTTTGTCTCACCCTGACAGTCATTCAAAACCGGAGACGCTGAAATGATGTTTCTCTTGCTTCACATTGTTAAAATCGTTGCTTAGCTGTGACTCTGACCTACATATTCCCAGCTTCAATCGCTGCCTGTGTAGCTAACAGTGGTAATTCTCAGATGGAATAAGGGCCCTATAATTGACCCCCTCCCCCACTCTCGTGGGTTCAGGAGGGGAAATATTCAGTTCGGGTTACCTCCTCTCCCTTGCAGGAGAATATGAATGTGCACAAGATCAGGCTTGGCTGTGGTGTGTCCTGGGGTTGAGTACCTCATATATGATTAATGCCGCTGGGAGACATGCTGACAGGCCTGTGGAATCAGATCCCTGTGTGAGTCAAGAGATAATAGAGACAGTGTTTACAAGAGGAATAAATTACAAATGCCTTGTACTAACTGCAGCCATGATAAAATAAGGAGGCCCATTGGCTCCATTCACAAGATTTAATTTCTCCCATTTTCAAAATGGCAGCGAGTGAGAAAGGCTTTTTTTTAATGAACTGATTGATGTGAAACATAAATATTTCATGAACTGGTGGACAACTGGAAGAGCACATGCTCTCGATTGCAACCTGGCAAGAGATGGATCCATTTCAATGACAGTTCTGCCTGGGACCTCTTTTCTTTCATAGTTGCTCTTTGCTGCTTCTAATTCTCCTGTGTAGGAGACATATTGGTCTACATAGAAACATAGGAGCAGGAGGAGGCCATTCAGCCCCTAGAGCCTGTTGGCCCATTCTAGTAGATCATGGCTGAACTGTACCTCAACTCCAATTATCCACCCTTGCTTCATATCCCTTGATACCTGACCTAACAAATATCTATCCACCTCCGTCTTCAAAATGAGAATGGTTCCAGTATCCACAGCCTTTTGGCTAGGAACATAGCATTCCATCAGTCTGTGCCATTCACTGCACAAGCACACAGCCAGCCTGCTTGTTACCTATAGTAAAAAGGAAGTGCCTGTCTTCAGGCTCACACACTATTCCGTAATGCACTATTATAAGGCAGAGTTTTGTGATATGCTGTTTAACCCATTACTTTGTCTAATAAACTCTATTCGCCAACACTGTGTCTCTTGTTCCATCTGAATTTGGGGTAAATAGTAGAGAGGTTGTAGCTGTTGTTCTGAGTGAGAGGAACGTGGGAAGCAAGTCCTGGACACTGCTACACAGGGAATTAATAGCAACAAAACCCATCATCACATGTGGCTCAGGACAGGGTATCCAGCAATGCAGCTTTGGCTTCAGGTTTTAGTCTTGGCCTAAGAAGCCTTCAAAACGATTACACACAGCTAACATTACACACTGCCAACAGGCACCAAAGGGGATTTGGGCAATCTAATGATCCCTCAGAGTGGATTAGGAAGGAAGACAGTATAAAATAGTCTAGGCCACCAGGGAGGAATGGTTTATTCTGCAATTGACATTTATTGGATTATTTTGGTTTCAATCCACCCCAGCTCTGTAAATGAGATCATTAAGTGAAGAATTAACGTGGGAACAGCTGATTTCAAAGTTAATTGTTTGGCTGTGAAACTCGTGAGAATGGCAGTGTTCTGTTTCCTACAAGGCCCATTTGGACTATTTGATCTCAGGGTGTATGATTTCATGGCCTTTCACAGTTACTGTGTGTGTGTGTTTGTGGGTGGGAGGAGAGAGTAATTAGTGTATATACTGTGCCTTGGGCAATGCTGGGTAATTTGAGCTCCAATTGCAAACCAGATTGCTGGATTTAAAGAAGCAGGATTCTGTTTCAGGCAAAATAATCCCATAGTTTGGGATGTGGTGGTTCAACTCCATAAATCTAGAATTGATAATGTTTTTGCCGTTTAAAAATCATTACTGGCAAACTCATATTCCCCCCCGCACCTATTTCCCTCCTGACTTTAGTAATAATAATAATAATTCATACATTTGATATAGTGCCTTATCACATCAATGAAATGTCTCAAAATGCTTCACGGAATATATTCTGAAGAGGATTGACTGTATTTGTGGGTGAACTGCGGCAGCCAATGTGTACAGCGGTGTCCCATAAAGCCATAGATTGAGTGACCCCAATTTTTTTTGAGGATTTATTACCCCAGAAAAACGATCCACCAATCAACTAACAACCCCAATTGGACTTGATGTGTCTTGGGCTTCTGTTGCTGTTATTTTGGTAATAATAATTCTTGCATTTTATATAGCAGCTTTCACATCGGAAGGCTGCCCTAAATCTCTTCACATGAGATAATGCAAATTATAATACAATATGACATTTGCATAGCGCCTTTCACAATGGGAGGACTTCCCTTGGTGCTGGACAGTCAGGGATTTGGACCCAAGTGGGTGGATGGGGGGAGAGATTGGGGTAAGGGAGGATGGAGGGTAGGAGCGGGGGGGTTTAAGAGAATGGCTGAATGAACGGTCGAAGAGGAGAGTCTTGAGTCGGGCCTTGAAGGAAGTAAGGAAGTGATCGAGGTGAAGCAAATGTGGGATGGAGTTCCAAAGGGTGGGGGTGGAGAAGCTGAAGGCCTGACTACTGATGGGGGAATGGGCCCGGCTGCTGAGTGGAGAGAATGGACAGGTTGATATAAGGGGTTAGCAGGTCACTGAGCTAGGAAGGGGCAAGGCCATGGACAGCCTTAAGGGTGAGGACTGCGTACTGTGACTACATAACACAGGAATTTCCATGTGTGGGTGGGGTGCATGGAACTCTTGCGTTGGTTAGGATTTTCTTAAGCATGGTGATAGGTTTATGCACGTGTCAGACACCCGGTTGAGCAAAAAAAATGTATAAATTGGAGGCCAACGACTGCTGGATTGAAAAACACTTTTCCAAAGGACGTGCACAAAGCTTTCAGCTACAAAGGTGTGACACACAAACATGTGGTACGCTCTCCCTCAATCCTCCCACCTTGTTCCCTCCCCACACCACTTTCAAATCCTGCCTAAAGACTTTCTCTTTGTTCGTGCGGACGGTCACCTCCCCCCTCCCTCTCCCCCTGCCTTGGGGTCAGACTTCGCCACTGTCAAGCGCTCCGGGATGCTACCCCACATGAAGGGCACTATATAAATACAAGTTGTTGTTGTTTTGTGACATGCAAATGTGTGACCCATGAAGATGTGTTGCAGAAGGCCGAGTTAGCATATCAGGGTACAACAGCTCCCTGGATTAAGAGAGAGAAAGCAGTCAGTGTTACTGGTTGTGTGTCAGCCTGGCTCAGTTGGTGGCACTGTTCCCATGGCAAGATCCCACGGCACTATTACAACCATAACAGTTATACAGTGGCCTTCACACGGACAGCTCAGAGCCAGCGGAGTTGCTCAACACTGAGTTTAAAAAGGGCAAGGAGAGTGACCGAGAGCAGTCAAACAGGAAAGTCTAGAGAGATTGAGGCAAGGATTTCCAGAGATTCAGCACTGACTCCGTCACTACCTCACCCCTCAGGCCGCTGAAACTCTTGTTCATGCCTTCGTCATGGCAGACATTCAAAATTCCCAACGAGCACACATTCCTTTGAGGAATAAGAATGCCATGGGAAAGGTGGTGCAGCCATGGCTAACAGTTAGGGAAAGTATCAAATCAAAAGAAAAAGCCTATAAAACAGCGAAGATGAGTAGTAAACCCGAGGATTGGGAGAACTTTAGGGAACAACAGAGGAGGACTAAAAAATTGATCAAGAGGGAGAAAATAGATTACGAGGGCAAACTGGCAAAGAACATAAAAACAGACTCCAAGAGTTTTTACAAATATATAAAGAGGAAAAGGCTAGTGAGGGTGAATGTGGGTCCATTACAGGCAGAGACCGGAGGAATTATAATAGGGGACAAAGACATGGCAGAGTCATTAAACAAGTATTTTTCTACAGTCTTCACCGTAGAAGACACTGGAAACATACCAAAAATGGAGGACCAAGAAGACAATGTTAGCGAGCAACTTAGGGAGATTAACATTAGTAAAGAGATGGTTCTAGGTAAATTGTCGGGTCTTAAAACCGATAAATCCCCTGGACCGGATGGCCTGCATCCGAGAGTTTTAAAGGAGGTGGCTACTGAGATAGTGGATGGCATGTCTATAATCTTCCAAAAGTCTGTGGATACTGGAAAA